TTTTTTTTCTCCACTGTGTAACAAAATACACAAATAGACCATGCTGTGATTTTATTTGTTTCCAAAAGTCAATAACTGCTCCTTAAAAACATATGAAAAAAGGAGGCAAGGGAGTTCAGGGAGTAATTGGGAGCTGAAGTAGGGTTAAGACACTGAATATTTACTGGCCTCATCTCAGCAGAGAGCTGATTATACTGCAGCTGAACATCCGTACCATTCCCAGTGGCTGGGACTTGTTCCTCCCTCTCAGTGAAAGAAATAAAAGATTTATAGCAGGCCAACTCACAACCTTAGTAAAGCTGAGGGAAAATTTGAACGCATTTTTTTTTTCTTTCTCTTCTATGCGTATTTTTTTGCCGTTGAATTGGGGGCACGCAAGGCCAAGAATGTAATAGACCTGTCAAGCATCTCCAGAGAGGAGCAACCAGCAGAGGAAGAGAAACAGGAGATTGGGCAGGAAGAGAGGGAGATAAGAGAGAAAAGGGCTTGTGAATGTTACTGAGTTGGGACAACAAGGGCATCACTCATCATGGTTTTGAAAGAGTGAGCTGATTAAATAATGTAGTAAAACTGCTACTTGGAATCTGATTACATAGCCCACAAAAAGTAACAAACTTGACTGTTGCAGCAACAATTGGGTATCATTAGTTCATAATATTTAAAAAAAAACAAACAAAAAAACATCTGTTACCTGTGCTTACTTTTTCCCTGTTAATTAGAGTCAAACTAAACTAAATGTAACCTGCAGGATCAATTTACTGATGTCTTTTCACATCAGTCTCATTACATCCTATAGCGCACCATATGGGAAAACAGGTTTCCATCCATGTTTAATTATGCATTTTAACTCATGAATGTTTAAACATGTGGTCCATCGAAGCACTCATGGCCCAAATGTGGAGCCTGAGGCTGGGTTGGGGGCAGATGAGATGAAGCTGGTTACTTTGTCTTAGTTCATAATAAAACAGTTGAAAAACCACCACAGTAATCTAAATTAATCTCACTAATAAAAAAGAGATTAATCAGATTTTGAATTAATTTCCCTTTTTAAATTGGCTCTTGCTTTATTTTACATGTAGTGGCCTCACACGTTTTTATCTCCAAGCGCATTGTGTCTGTTTGATGCTTCTTTCTGAATTTGAAATGTATAACTCTGCTTTTTAGTGCAACCATGTTTTCTCACAAAATTTTCTATGAATGTGAGAGAGCGAGGTTTCATGTTGCTCAGACTCAGTTTACACATCATGGATGTGAATCTGCACAAAGTAAATCAAGGTTTTAATGAGCAACACTGTCAAAGGTGCTGCATCATAACAGCTGCTTGAATCACAGCTGAGTGTTTTTTGGCTTCTGTGTTTTTAGCAAGAACATCTGGGGTGTCTCACTTTGTTGCTTCTTGCACGAACATAACTGTCTCATTACAGTTTGACAAATGCGCTCAAATTCTTAAATCAGGATTAGATACTTCTGCGGTACAAATCTGAAAACCACCACATTGTTAACTTTTTATCTGGAAACAACTTTAATTTTTGTTGTGATACTCTTAATTGTATTAAGGTAAGTCAAATAGGACGTCTTTCACTACAATAATATTAACTGGAAAGGATTTCAAACCAACTTCCACTTTTTCTACACTTTTTCACTTGTTTTATATTTCCATTTTCAGTGCTTTGTGGCATTGCTCATCTGTGTTTGTCAAAAATAGGGTGCATGGTGGTGCAATGGTTAGCACTGTTGCCTCACAGCAAGATGATCCTGGGATTGATTCCAGGATTCGTGGCTGTGTTGAGTTTGGATGTTCTCCCTGTGTCTGTGTGAGTTTCTTCAGGTACTCTTGTTTCCTCCAGCAGTCCAAAGATGTGCACATAAGGTTAACTGTTGATTCTAAAGTGGCCGTAGGTTTATTGGCTCTCTGTCTCTCTGTGTTAGACTGGTAATATGTACAGTGTATGGCTCCTCTCACCCTGGGATATGCTCTAGCCCACTTGCAACCCTGAATTTGATTAGGAGAAGAGGATGGATGCTTTTCTGGCTGTAATTGTCATTTATAGTGAGTAAATACACTCACAGGACACTTTATGAAGCACACATAACTAGTAATGGCCTTAATCCTTTGTGGTAGGGATTCAAAAAGGTGTTTAAAACATTCCTCAGAGATTTTGGTCCATATTGAGATGATGGCATCAGACAGTTGCTGCAGATTTGTCAGCTTCACGTCGATAATGTGAATCTTCCATCTGAGTACAGTGAACTCACTGTAACGTTCAAGAAACCAGTTTGAGATGATTTGAGCATTGTGACAAGGCATGTTGTCCTATTTGAAACAGAAGATGGATCTGGCTAAAAACAATACTTAGTATGCTGGGGCTTCAAGATTAAATGCTCTTCTGCTGCCTTGGTTGTAACAACTGGTTATTTGAGTTACTGTTATCTTCCTCTCAGCTCAAAGCAATCTATTCTCATCTCACCTCTGTTATCAACAAGGATTTTTTTGCCCAGAGAGCTGTTCTTATTGTATATTTTCTCTTCTCAGATTGTTAGTCTGGGACCAAAACCCATTCTACATTCAAAGTCATCTTTCTTCCTCATTCGGGTGCTCAGTTTGAACTTCAGCCGGTTGTATTAACTTTGCTTCTATATCTAAATGCATCGAGTTGCTGCCATGTGATTGGCTGATTACATAGCTGTGTTGACGAGGACTTGAATTGCTACACAAATAAGGTGGCCAGTGGGCGTAAATAAAAATGAATCAGAGAAAATATACACCACTGGGACAAAGTGATAAGCTTAGAAGTTACTTTATCATTTCAATTCAAGATGATAAATATGCAAGTTATACAAACATCCATTTCCAGAAGTTGTCGAGCTTGTACTAAGTGGGAACCTTAGGGAACCAGGCTGCTGTATTTATATATGCATGGTTTGCTTTTCTCTGTGAAAAAGAGTTTATGCTAGCAGACATGATTGCACGGTAACGTGAAGTAAAACCAATGCACTGATTAATGGCGGCCTTTTAATTCCAATCACTGAAATCTGCCCAATTTATCACTTTAGTTTGGCAGTAGGTCTAACAACATGTACTAGACAGAGCCAAATAGGCGTACTTATTCATAATTTTAACCACTGAGGCTCTCCTTTTGTATCCCGCTTGTATTTTTTACATTTGAATTAATATCTTGTTATGTTTCACATTGCAGAAGTTGACTGTTTTATGAGAAAATGGTTGAGACATCAGTGGTATTCACAAACACTGAAATAAATAATATAAAATAATGAAAAAAAATAATCTTTTCAGAAGTTTATAAAAACATTTAATTGCAAATAAATCTTTTATTGAATGTTAATTTTATGTTGTTTTTCTTAGATAGGCGTGTTTTTAGACATAAATGTTCTTCATAGGGATTTTTCCACAAAGATATTCATTAAAAATAAACAGTTCTTATAA